AGATCGCCCCTCCTTAACCTTCGTTCGAGCCAGTACAGTCCCAACACTTCTAAGTTCTCATAATGTACCTTAGTGCGGATGACAGCGTGAACAAACTCAGGTAGGGAAAAGTTACTACTACGTCAGCGTGTCTTCTCTCATTCCTTAATTCTATGAGCATGCACCTTAGAGCAAAGCATACAAAAGTGCTTTTTAACATCGACTGCTCTCCCTCTCCACTCTTCCTCATTTCAGGACGCCTTACATCACATTGGGCTCCTGTCTTCCAACCATCGTGCTATTAACCGATGCTCCAGAAAATAAGTATTTGGTCCACGCTTTCTACATGACATCTGCATGGTTACTAAGGCCACAACTGGCGCCATATTGTCATTTCGTTCATTGATTTTAAATGTTTTCAATATACCATGTAGTCCTTGTTCCAGAAAAAGTTTTTTTTCACGAAAAGCAGAGTTGCGTACTTTCACGAAGAACGTATACTCAGTTGTGAATAGCGAAACGCGTTAGTCCTATTTTTCATGAAGATAAATCCACGATTTTACTTTTGACTTCGATTGACTGACTTTGAGGAGGGAAAAAGGTATCCATTTCTTCGCCGGAATACAATTCAAATCTTCCCTTGGAATTTGAAAGAACAATATAACATGCATGACTCCTTCACCATGGTTCCATTCGGGACTGAAGTGCATAATAAGTACATTCGAAGTGCATACGTCTCCCAGGGGCCTGAAATGTCATTCTTTCTTGAGTGCTACTCTAACGGGAAAATCCGAAAAGGATCCTATAGGATCAAAGCATATTTTTGTATAATAAAAATCGTACAGGATTCATATAGGATTCCCATAGGAAACTACAATAATCCTATAGAATCTTATGATAAAAAAAACCTGATACATGCAAGAATCGCATCAAATTGTTATGCTTCAAAAAGCTCATAGGATCCTATAGGATCCTTTCGAGCAACGACTAATCCAACATATCTGTTCAAAACGCACCTCGAGGTAGATTGGTTGGACTGCGTCGTGAAGGATGAATTGAAAATTGGGGTGCCCCACCCAGTGCTCGATGTTCCGCCTCTTCCCCGTGATGAGGTTGTCCAACACGATCACGTTGTGTCCATCCTTGATGAGGCGGTCGACCAGGTGGCTGCCGACGAAGCCGGCGCCTCCCGTCACCTGCGCAATCGTGGAGATTGGAACTTTCTGTTATGGTGCACCACGTAAGAAAGGTGTACAATAATCGAGCACACCCAAGTCTAAATTTGACCCCGAATGCTCCGTTTTAAGATGAGCTCAGAACCTCACAATGTCGATAAACTGATCAGAGTGTTTCTTCATGCGAGGAAAACAGTTCGCGCCCATGCAACATGAGATAGTTTGCGAAACATGTCTCCAATAGTCGAGCAGGCATGAGTTAACCAATTATTGCAAAATCCAATTCCGCTTGCATATCCGGGAAATTATTTTGACCTCCTTATGAATATATCTCGATTGTGCGCTTTTAAATTTTAGAGATGTTCGCTTGTCTAGGCTGCGAGTTCAGGTGCAACTTTTATAGATTATTAATCGCTCTTGCATATCCGGGAAATTATTTTGACCTCCTTATGAATATATCTCGATTGTGCGCTTTTAAATTTTAGAGATGTTCGCTTGTCTAGGCTGCGAGTTCAGGTGCAACTTTTATAGATTATTAATCGTTGCTCACCAGAATTCTCTTCTGGTAGATCTCCTCCTGGAATTTGGCGAAGTCCTGGTTCATTTTCTCAGCAGCAAATACTCCCTCCTTGAAAGGAGAGACGTCCGCCTTCTCCTGCTCTTCGGGCACCTGTTCTGGGGACACCTGCTTTTGGGACACCTGTTTTTTGGGCACCTGTTCAGAGGGCATCTGGTTTTGGGACACCTGTTCTGGGGAACCCTGTTTCGGAGAACCCTGTTTTAGGGAACCCTGTTTCAGGGACAGCTTCTCTTGGGGTAGCTGTTCGGTGGGGACCTGATCCGTGGGCTCCGGCGACTTCCCCTTATAGTTCGACGGGAGGCCCCAGACTTGAAGCGCGAAGCCCATCGTCATCACGATTGCCATCCACAAGATCAAACACCCGAAGCACTTCGAGCAGGAGGGCCAGCCGGCCCTCGAGGAATTTATGGACTTCATCCAGCTGGGCTCCTGCTGAAATATATCCTTGTACGATTTCCATCCGTAGGTGGAGGCATCTGATTTATATAGGCCTATCGTGGGAGGAGTCGTGTATTGGGCTCCGGGCATTTTCACTTCTGCAGGTAATTTTTTTTACTGATGGAAGGGATGCACATATTTTATGTCCAATGCTATTTTGTGCAGCCTTTTTCATGAATTACGTGACCCTGTAGACGAGCAAAAATATTTACCTTGGGAGGCCATAAATTGATTTGATACTATCTCTGAAAACATCCTTGCCTGAAAGTGCATGACATTCAGCTGGCGCTCCTGGATCTATTATTTCCTGCACAATTGATCCTGCAATATTATTTCCTGCACAATTGAAATGTTGTCATCGCCTCAAAAAAAATATCAGCTGAAACCGACAACTAAATAGTTTTTTTTAAAGTAATGATCACTCTTTATTGAACAGCCCTTAATTGATCCTGCAATATTATTTCCTGCACAATTGAAATGTTGTCATCGCCTCAAAAAAAATATCAGCTGAAACCGACAACTAAATAGTTTTTTTTAAAGTAATGATCACTCTTTATTGAACAGCCCTCGTAAATTTTATTATCCAATTTCTCGCCACTTGGGAATTGAACCATGCTGTTACTGGGTGCTCTGACGTCAGCCAACGCTTTCGCACTTGGGTGCCAAAACATTGCCTCACCGAGACAGTGGTTCTCTGCTAAAACTTTGTAACTTCCGGTTTGACATATTCAGCCGTGGTTGCTCCTAGCCAAAAGTGGCAAAGGGGATTTAATCATACTCCAAACGGCAAGATTCAAGACAATTGACTTCAATGGGATATGCGAGATGCACACAATGCAAATTCTGGCTACTCCGAAAATGCCTGACAGGCAAGAGAGAGCAAAAATCCCCCAAATTGTGAAACGCAAGTTCCCTTCGTGGCAACAGCGAGAACTCCGCTGACTAACGGAAGCCAACAGCACGAAGCGCCGATTCATCGGTGAAAATCACGCCACTTTCCGCCGAAGCCAACGAATCCGCCACGCAACGCTCGGCCTGATCACGCGTATTACTCGATTTTTCTGCTGGGCCTTTTCCGATTTATCGTTGCAGACATTTCCCAAAGAAGTTTAGCATATAAACCCGAAATTCATGCTCGACGACTTCCACTCGAGTCCCCCTTAAGTAAAAAAAAAAAATTCTCGATAGTTCTGGAATTCATGCAGGATCGAATCACGGTGACCCTCTGGGCAGAGGGCCACCATGGGTCGCCAAGGGTCACCAAGGGTCGCCAATGGTCACCAAGGATCGCCAAGGGTCACCAAGGGTCACCTTTGTGAATCTGGCGTCTGCCCAGGCGAAAATCAGATTTCAAATTGAAAACCAGCCGGCAGCGAAGCCACCAGGATTCCAACATATGACTCCTCAGCTCCTTGTGCAATTGACGGCTCCTTGTGCCTGGGAACCAGGTCAATAAACGAAATCACTAATTAAACCTCCGGTCAATCCGGATCGACCGAGACGCCCTGAATCCTGCATCAAAATTTCCCCACGCCAGCGATGATACACTCCTCCAAGAGACAAGGACACCGCCCCTCGGCCCACTTCGAACTCACTGCCGACCTCAAATAATTGAAACCAGCGATTGAACCCAGCAGGAGAATCCAAAAGCAATCATCCCATTCATTCCAACAATATAAAAAAAAATCGTAAAAGTTACGGATACTCCAAAGGTAATGGATATTTTAATACGTCACCGATGCTCTTTCCAACCGGATAAGTATAGGATCCAGCCACCCGGAGCAGATCAAGACAATGTACTGTACAGTACTACGAGTTGAGTACTTTCCAGTACCCAACTCGTTCCGACCGAGCACAGAAGATCGCCGTGTTTGCTATATTTCGTAATTCAAATTGAATTAGCGAAATTGTTTCTCTGTGTGCTGATGCAGCTTTCCGGACCTTTTCTTACATCATAGATTGGGATCTCCAACTCATGAAATCAACATAGGCAGGAGGCATATTTCCATTTCGGTCCAGAGTCTGTTTATGACTGGTCTAAGTCGCATCGAAGCAATTTCGCCGGACGCCCGTTTACGAGGCGAATGGCGACGGCAATTATTGTAGTTGTCGCCAAAAAAAAATCCAGAAAGAAGGACAAGATGGACAGGTGTAGTTGGCAGGGGTGGAGCAACTAGCACTGACCATTGCCTTTACATTTCATGCCACCAACTTCTTGAGTGGTTTCTTCTGTTACAACTTCTTTATGCGGTACAAGGTATATAATCAACAGATCACTCAGAATGCCTGGAATCAATTCAAGATTACATATTTTCGGCGATACTTATAAAGCAGGAAATGACCGTTTCTGGTGCTGTGCAATTCCCCATTGCCTAGGCCGATGGACCATGTAGATATGGAGAATTAATTTTGCCACAAAACATTGAAATTTAGCAGGTGTAAGGAAGTCGATCGCTAAGCAGTTACACAATTAGCCTTCCCCATTAGGAAATTTGGGGAAAATCGCAACCGTTTTGAATTTAAAAGGAAAACTTTGCCTCTTGGACCCGAAGTCCCCCTTTCACAGAAACGGCAACGTCGACAGACTCACTGCGTTTCTTCACAATCCCACTCAGCAAACGCACACTACGAACGCAAGCAGTCACAGTGCTATAGAATGCTTATTCCGCTCTCTATCAGAGGTAAGGAAGGATGGGAGGAAGATGGGGCAGTAGGGAAACGGGATAGGAGGAGGACAGTACTCGAGGAGCACAGAACTCGAGGAGGACGGAACTCGAGGACAGGACGTGACGAGAACTAAACTCGAGGAAAGCAGAGAACAGTGCGTGGCTGTTGGGTAATGGAGGGAACGTTCCATTATTCCGCGCGTCATCGTGACTAATCGTTCCAGCGAGTCTCGTATGAAGCAAACACTCGCCGAGTGCGTGCCATTTATGAAAGTGCAAGGTGTGCCTTTTCCCCTCTTGTTTCATCATTAAAAGAGAATCACGGTGCTTGCTCATTCATGAATAATTCAACTAAGATCATTTCGATTTTCCAATGTATCCCAGTGCCTTTAAGAGAGGAAAAGTAATTGCGGGAACTTGCTCACAATGCGCGTTCGCTTTCCCCAACGATATTCGGCACAAGCCTAGTCCAAATTGGCCCCGATGATTTCGAATCCAGCATAACTTCAACAATAGTGACTAGCGCTTCAAGATTAATAACTTCCAAGATATATCGTTTTTGCAGGGATTGGGCATGCCCAGAGAAAGCGCGCATGATATTTCGCATCTCGTAAAATCAGGATCGTGATGAATGGAGTTCCTGAGTCGTCCAAAGCATGCTCTATCAGTCCCATGTCATGGCTGGTCAACCAGTCCCATGTACATTTCATTGCGGAATACAATTAAATGTTAGTGCGTCGCTTTTTTTTAGTTTTGTCCGAAAGCTATTTCGGGGTGCTACGGACAAAACTCGTATCGCTTTTTGCTTATTATTTAATTACTAATGTGCGTTTTTGCCCATTTTCTTTCCACGTTCTTCCCGCCAATTCTCCAGTTCTGCACGGAAACATATTTTTTTATTGATATAATTAAAAGTATTTATATAAATTTATCATTAGTAAGTTGATTCCCGAGGGACTCGCCTTGAAGAATGCGATCCACCCATAGTCTGCTCATTGCTAAACATGGCAACCGATAAGTCGCTTAATTACAGCTGATACTATCATGCAAACAAATAAAAGTAAGCGGTTGAATCTAAGCGCAGATTCGCGAAATGGCTCCAGTAAGAACAGCGATAAACAGTTTAAAGCATTTTTCCCCATACGTGGATTGCAGATATATATATTTTTAAAAAATAAGTATTTTAGATTTGAAATGGAGGAAAGTGATAATTGAATCACAGGAAAATCACGATGTCCCATCCAGAAGCCAATCGGATGCGAATTTTAATACACGGTTCGCTAATATCACCACTGATATTTTTTTTTGGGAAGGTTCATTTAGCACGACTTATGAACGGACGAAATAAAATATGAGAAACATTGACAAGTCTAAAAAACGACCAATTGTGGAAAGGAAATTCTTCACGGACGACATACGAATATGTATATATAATTTGCACATATATAATTTGCTTTCTATATGCAAGGAAAACTTGTCTCGATCTTGCGATCGCGTTACTTCTCGTTCCAGGGGGAGTAGAGGTTCCTGGTGCTGAAGTCGCGCTGCTTCAGCTCGGCGCTGAAGTATTTGATCGTCTTCTGGAGGCCCTCGGACACTTTCACCTGCGACGAAAATTTATATTTTATATTATTAATTTATATTAAATTTATATTTCGGCCAAAGGTCCCAATTCGTAAAAATTAACTAAATTTGGCTGGTATAAAACAATTTCAGATTTTTGGGATTCGGTCTAATTTCTGATAACCTATGCATTTTCTTTTCACTGCATTGGATATGTGTAATTTATTAACTTGTAATAAAATGTCGAATAGAGAGAGGTCGACAGTTCGACTGACGACATTTCTCATTTATTATTTTTTTAATTTCTCGTCTACTGACGGATTTCTTCCATCGAGATGTTCGAGCCCAACGCTTTGCATTCGGTCACCTTTCGGAGGCACGAATCAGGATGTTTGTTCGCATTTTTACTACGACCCGGTCAGACCAGATTAAAACGAAATAGCAATTCATGGAAAAAAAAA